CATCCCATCACCCCAGCTTGAGAGGCAGCTGCTTCCACAGAGGGAGCTGAGCAGCCGCTGCGATACCTCCCCAGGTCTTTATCCACGTGGTCTCTGCACTACAACACAGTCAGCAGAACAGAAAAAACCCAGGAGCACAGAAGACCTGCTCACACCCAAGAGATGTGGATTTCTGCTCAGGCTTTTCTGTTCACCAAGAGGAAAGCGGACGAGGTTGTAGCAGCCTCACCTCCTGCCGAAGCAAAGTTACTGATGGTGGTTTTGTTGCGGTACACGGACAGGCCGGTGCTCACCATGCTGCAAAGATAAAGCACAGAAGAAGTCAGCAGATGCACGTGGAAGAAGACAAGTAGCACAACAGAGCCTGAAATCAAGCTGGATTTTATTAAAGCCAACCCTCAGGTTGCCTCTAACCACCTTGCTGCCCATCTGTCCAGAGCTCACACACACACACACACCAGCTGCAAGTGCCTGGATCTCTGTGACTTTACTGCAGGCAGCTGCACAGTCAAAGGTGGGGAAACATCAGGATTCTCTGCCTGGATCTGGAATATTCTTTCTTTAAAAAAAATATATATATCTTTGATTTTTTTTCCATCATATATTCAAGGATAAAAGGAATTGAGCAGTGAAAACATCCTGTCAGTCAGTCCTGATGTAGCACCTTTACCCCCAGAAGCTGAATCCGTGTGTTGGTCGATGCCTGCCTGATGTAGACAGCCACCACCACTAGAGCTAAGTGACACTCACGACATCAGCAGGGTCACCTACTCCTGTGGCATGAGATTTCCCACCAGGGTAGGTACACCATCTCCTCCAAAAACAACAGTTAAGCCCCAAAAGCACTCTCTGTTCCCAGTTCAGGAGCCACATCTTCCCCAGCACTCCTGCAAGACAAGTCAACAGCAACCTCCCTCTCCTTCCCAGCGCTGTAACGTCACCCCTGCCTTTCTACAAGTTAAAACTAAACAACTTGGTTTTAAACCATGAAACTCAAAATTCACACAACCCCAGGGCCAAATCTGCAACTTGAACTTTTCAGCTGAGTGGCAAATATCTTATTTCAAGATATTTTACAAAGGGGCAGGGAAAAATAACTTCTTTGGAAGCCTTTGCCAAAGAGGTGGTGAAAAAAAGGGTGATATCTGACTGCAGGGAGGACATCTGGTGGAAGATGATGAGGTTACACATCAAGCCCAGGAACATCTGAAGAGACCAAAAACTCCAGGAGAGAAAGCCAACACTATGTTAACTAAACCTAAAAATAGGTAATAAACCAAAAGGAGCCAAAAAAACCCCAAAAGAGATTGAGGAAGAAATTCAAAAAGGACTAAAAAAAAATAGGGAGACAGAAATATAAACCAGTATCATAGAATCATGGAATGGTTTGGGTTGGAAGGGACCTTAAAGATCATTCAGTTCCAACCCCCCTGTCATCAGCAGGGACACCTTCCACTAGACCAGGTTGCTCAAAGCAATTATATTACAATTATATTAGTAATTAGTAATATTAGTCAATACTGGTGGTATCTTACAAGCCGAGGTGGATTCAAACAGAACATACCTGCAGATGTAGTCAACGCAGGTTTAGGACTACACATAAATTTACCATTTGGAATGTCAGGGAAGGAAATATTCCTAGTTTAAAAGGGATTTACTCAGAAAAGTGTGAGTAGTTTGATGCTGTGTTGTCAGAGATGCACTGACAGCTCTGAGGCAGAAAGTGAGGGAAGCAGAACACTGTCTCGGTGTTGGCTGAGTGTGTAGGAAGAACGTGAAGGACTAAAGAGGTACATACAGCTGGCAGGTCTGGTGTTCAGCGACTGCTTAATAATCATCTGCAAGCATTCGAGGACAAGAACAAAGGATTGTGAGTAATGCTACTATTAGGAGTAATGAGACATAATAAAAAGGAGAAAAATTAGCATGGAATAGAAAGAAATCTATTCCAGAAACAGCCAACACACGGTATCACCCTCCTAGAGAAAAATGAGATGAAGCAAAAGCAGAAGGAAGCCGTCAAGTGCAGGGAAAAACAAGTCACTAACAGCACAGATTAGATGTAAGGAACAGAAGATTTGATTAGAAGATTTGAATCCTGGGATAACTATAAAAGGTTAAATCCCCTTCACGTTCACACCTTATCAACCAGACTCACTGTGAACACACCAGCTTGAGCCTCAACCAGTCATCAGTGCTCTCTCGGGGAGCTGTGAGCACAGGAGGCACGAAGGGCTCCTGGCCACGAGCACCTGAGCACCAGCCAGAGCTTCTCCCACTGCTGCTGGAAACCACTTACTTGAATATTGTCACAAAAACAGCGACTCTCCAGCTCCAGCGCCAGCCGTAGCGGATGAAGCTCCTGAGACCGGCCCGATGCGCAGATTGCTAAGGGGAGAGAGAAGACGGGTTACAGGTCACAGCCCCGTTCCTCCTCGCCAGCACCACCACGCCCCATCAACCCCCACGATGAGATGTGAGGCTGATGTCACTTGGGAATGATCCCCTGACCCTTTGGGATCAAATCATCCGTCTTTAGAGGAAAAACCTCTCATGTTTCAACCAGCCTCCAACAGGAAAACCAAGAATTCATTCCAGCTTGTAACATCAACTGGTCTTTCTAATCCTGGCACCAAAAGACATCCAGGGAGAGCTTTGTGAGGACAGCACGGGAGAGTAGCAGAGAAAAAAGGGGAGAGGAACAAAGTTTCTAGAAGAAACTAGAAACTAGTTCTTCACTATTATGAGTTCAGAAGTATTAATAAATAATAACCATTCATAAACAACTATAACAAGTAATTAATAACCACCTACTTTAAATGTTAAGAGACTGTCAAGCTCTGCCATTTAGCACTGGTGCTTCAAAGTTTGGCAGTAAGCAGCTTTTTTAAAAGCTTCATAAAATTTCATAATAAGTCATAAAAAAAAAACAATAAATAAAAATAATATTCCACAAAAGAAAATAAATTCTCTCTACTGGTGCCTGCGGTGTGAGTGCTTAGCCCAGGTGCACGAGAACATCAGCAGGAGAACAAAGTGAAGCCAGGCACCGACACTTTGCAGGGGCCAAAATCTAAATAGCGAATGATGTGAAATGAAGCAGATTTTAAGGGGTTTTTGTCCTAGTAATCCAAGTAACCAACGCTTGAACTGAACAACAAACCCCTAAAAGGTTCAAACACATCCATAAAATGTCACAGGTGTTATTTGTTCCGAGGTGGAGCTTTAAATGGTCCTAAAATAACACACGTTAATAACATGAGAGGACAACACCAGTTGGATACCATGGAGTGAAGTCTCCTGCCAACGTACTAAAATTTAAAAGCCAAAAGACTTTTCAAGACATATTAATTAGTCATTTAACAGGATGAAAAAATGAAAAGGGAAACTCAAATTTTATGAGTTATTATAATATTATGAGGGTACATGAAGCCAGGTGCTACTTCTCTACCACTGTCTTCTTGATCAACATCAATGAGAAGTTTCTTCCTGGAGCCTCATCACAAAATGAGCAGTATTGGAGATCAAAAATAAGAAATTATTTGGTAAAAATAACACTAGTGAGTAGAACTGGACAATGCTCATTAACTGTAGAAAGACCCAGATGCTGAGATGCTATTTCTAAAATCTACTTGACACTTAAACAAAAGTGTTATTACAGAATTTGACATCACGTTGCAAGCAACTTTCATAAGTGGCCCAGAAGTGCGTATCTTGCCACAGCACTGGGATTTCAAATTGTGTGACAGTTTGACACTCATATTGTTTCTTCTTTAAGGATTAAACCTCTCCTATATCCCAAAATTAATGTAGATGTCACAGAATCATAGAATCACAGAATCGTAGTTGGAAAAGACCTTTAAGATCAGCGAGTCCAACCATAAACCCAACACTGCCAATTCCACCTCTAAACTGTGTTCCTAAGCACTGTGTCTACACGACTCTTCAATCCCTCCAGGGATGGGGACTCCACCACT